ATTACATATCAATTAGGATGCTCTTGGTTACAAGAAACAGACTCAACTCAAAGAGGTTTAGACAAAATGCATAGTTTAATGCTCACATAATAAGAAACCTGGAGTTAGGACAATTCCAGGGTTAGTTATTTTTACCATCCAGTGACCTCATCAGGGACTCAGGTTGTTTCCATTTTTCCTTTCTAACATCCTCTGTATGTCAACTGTTTCCCTCATGGTCACAAGATGGCTGTAGCAGCTCCGGACATCTCTCTTATCACAGATCAAAGATCTTAACGATCCCAGAAGTTTCCTGGCAGACTCCCTCTTGTCTCATTGGCTAGAATCACATCCTATGCCCGTTCCTAAACAATAATTGGCCAGAGGGGTAGAATGACCTCAATTGGCTTAGACCAATCAAAATACAGTTGCATGAGCTTGTGACCTCCTGACACCAGAACAAACTCGGGGAGCTGTAAGCCAAGGAGAAGGGAAATGGCATCAGGTAGTTAGCCCACAGAGAAAGCCCGACTTGTTATGTACCGTAAGAGAGCTTGCATCTTTGAGAAAGAACAGAAAATACCCCCACAGTTAGAGCCCATTACCTGCTTCTCGACTTTCCTTCTGTGTTCAGGGAGGCCTGGCCAAGGGGACCGAGATGCCATTCCTTCGCGCGTGCCTCCTGGGTATGGAGAGAGGAAGTACTTCCCTCTTTTGGGCCCAAACATTTTAGAGTGAAATTTTCATTCCCCCTTGTTCTTCTTGGCAGTCTTGAAGGTCACACTTGTCTCCCACCTTCCTTATCTTCCCAGCTTACACACTTGTCAAGGGAAGATTTTACTTTCCTTCTGTGGCTCAGATATCAGGTGATATGTGAGACTCGGCTTCTTTAGGAGCGACTGATTGGGGCTTTATGTGAATACATTTTAAGGGCTTCAAGATTAAGCTTTTCCTCCTCCATGTCATTCTCTTTGGACATGCAACTTCACGCTTATTTTATTTCATAGCAAAGTCGGTCTTGCACATGGAAGATCCTTACAGCCTATATGACCAGTTTAGATCTTCCCAGGAAGCACTAGACTGTACTGGTTAAAAGTCCAGCCTCTGGACTCAGACTGGAATGCAAATCCCATCACTGTCAGTTACTAGCTGTGTGAACATGGTCATGTAGCTTCAGCTCTCTGACTCTCAGATTCCTCAAAGGGGGATAAAGGTGGGCTCTACCTCACAGTGTGGTTGTGAGGGTTGAATGAGTTGCCGGGAAGTGCCTGGCATGTGGACTGCTCTGTAAATGCCATTCCTCCTTAGGGTTACTGAAGGCAGTTTTCATGTTGGCTCAGCAGGGAAAGGGGAGACAGCTTGTACAGGACAAGAATCTTCCCCTTTACTTCTTCTCTCTTTTTCCTCTTTCTTCATCAAACATTTACTGACCTCTCTTGTGTATGAGACATTCATAAATGTCTTAATTAAGCTTATTTTAAAATAAAATATTCCTAATTCCTAAGTCTTTTAGCTTTCTGTAAAATAAAATATTCCTAATTCTGTGGAGTTAGGAATACACTACAGGGAAGAACAAGACAGACATGGGCTCTGCCCTCTTGGGTTTTACAGACTAGCAAAGAAGATGGATATATCTGCAGATCCATATATAAAGGTTAAGAACAAGGGTAGTAAGGGTTCCATGAGGGAAATGTAGGTACCCTGCTTTGATGAGGTAAAACAGGGAGCTCATCTGGGACCCAGGGTGTGTGGGTGATGGTTAGGGAAGACCTCTTAGGGGTAGTGATGTTTAAGCTGAGTCCTATAGGATTGCAGAAGTTATTCAAGTGGGGAAGGGTATTCTGGGAAGAAGGAACAGCATGTGCAAAGTTCCAGAGATAAAAGAGTGGGGCATACTTAGACCCACTGGAAATCCAATATGGCAGCATGAGAGAGGCAGGAGACTCATTCATGGAGGCCCTTGGGTCATATGGAGGAGTCCAGTTACATTTTTTTTTTTGTTTTTTGAGTCGGAGTTTCGCCTTTGTTACCCAGGCTGGAGCACAATGGCGCGATCTCGGCTCACTGCAACCTCCGCCTCCTGGGTTCAGGCAATTCTCCTGCCTCAGCCTCCTGAGAGCTGGGATTACAGGCATGCGCCACCATGCCCAGCTGATTTTTTGTATTTTTAGTAGAGCTGGGGTTTCACCATGTTGACCAGGATGGTCTCGATCTCTTGACCTCGTGATCCACCCGCCTCGGCCTCCCAAAATGCTGGGATTACAGGTGTGAGCCACTGTGCCCAGCCCCCAGTTACATTTTTAAGTGATGAGGAACGTGAAAGGGTTTCAAGCAGGCAGACGACCAGATATGTATTCATTCAACACACTTATTGGGGTTGCTTATGGAGAACAGATGAAGTGAGTGGTGACAGGAGGGAGAGAAGCTAGGTGGCTGTTGCAGTGGTTCCGGTGAGGCATGTGACCTAGGATGGGGGCGGCTAACTGAAATGCCACCTGAGTTCAGGTGAGCTGTGGTGAGACTGGTCTGCTGTTTGGGGAACTGGAATTAGAGATCACTTTTGAAGCATTCTCTCCTTGGCCTGCAGTTTGCAGGTCTGCTGAACGGTGAGGCCCAGAAACCCTTGTTGGATTCTGGGACCCATTCACTGTGTTAGGTCTTCTTGTAGAGTGAAGGAGTTCATGTGACTTCTTAGAGGCCATATTTACCATGAAGTTTGAACTAAGTTGACACGGTGCCAGTTGGTAATTCCAGAGTGTTTCTTTTTTTTTTTTGAGACAGAGTCTCGCTCTGTTGCCCAGGCTGGAGAGCAGTGGCGGCCTCCTGAATAGCTGGGACTACAAACGTGTGCCCCTATGCCCAGCTAATTTTTTGTACTTTTAGTAGAGATGGGGTTTCACTGTGTTAGCCACTGTGTGCAGAGACAGCTCAGCCACCTTGAGTCTTATTTCCCTCGTCTGGAAGGTGGGAGTCGTAACAGTCCTGTGGCATGGGCTCATCACGAGTATGGCGTAAGGTGGTGCCTGCAGAGGGCTGGCCCGGTGCTTGGTACCCAGCAGGGGCTGCGATAATTTTTGCTATTGCAATGGTAGATGCTGTAGCCCAGTATGTGTGTGTCTGTACTGGGGGGACTAGAATGACACCCCTTCCTTTAATAACTATATTGTAAACACGTTGTGTTTTGGGCGCCTGTGATGGTCAAAGATAGACTCCGAACCATAGCACTTAGGGACATGGAGTGGGTGAGTGGGAGTCCATCCACCAGGAGTTGGATGGAGACCTGGGTTCCACTCTCGGATCTGCCACCAGGCCATCATGTGATGTAGAGCAAAGCCTCTCCCTGGCTGGCTTCCGTTCTCTCATCTGAATCGCGGCACTGCTAACTGTGGCCTTGCTGTGTAGGCTCTGCATTTGTCTTCATCTCTTCCTCTTTTCTAGGGACTGAAGATTACCCTGGGGGAGTGGTGCCCTCACTGTGAGGCTGGTTTGAAAGGAAGGAGAAGCAGCGCCTTGAAGCTCTGTCCCGCTCTTAGACCCAGAGCCTCTCTCATCTTCCTCAGAGCTCCTCAGTGGGCTCACAACAGGCCACCTGGGGCCCCTGCCCTATGTGGCATTGTTCCTGCTCTGGGATATAGCTGTGAGAAGTTGAGGTAGCTTCCTAGGGTGTCCACTGCAAAAACAGGGAGCGGGGAAGGCCCTGACAGCATCAGGCATTTGGGTTCTGAGTGTGGATAAAATGCAAATGCCTGGCACAGCCTCGTGTTGTTCACAGCCTGCTGCCAGCCTGCGTTTCTCCTGCTCCCCTTCCCAGTGTGTGTCAGTGTTCCAGCTCCACGGGAACCCCTCGAGGGCCCTCCCACCTCCAGGCGTTTGCTCGGGTTCATCTCACTGCCTGCCTTGTTCTTCCCTCAGCTTCGCCTCATGAACTCCTATTCACCCTTCAATGCCCATGTCAAATGCCACTTCCTCTCAGTAGCCTTCTTAGACTTACCCAGGGAGCATGTGTTGCTTCCTTCTCTGCTCTCCATGGTTCTTCAGGCAACAACTAAGGAGCATTTATTGCCATTTTGGTTCATCTATGTACTTCTACTAGGTTGGGGGTCCCCCCAGTGCAGAAATGGTGGCACTCTGTATTCCCTGGAGTGGCATCCCTGTATTCCCTGCAGACAAGGAGCAGGTCACTGAAAGGTATCAATTAGCACGAGCCTTGTAACCCAAATGTCTCCTGGGGTCTCAAAGCCTTTGGGTGCAAATGAGGTCCCCTTGCTATGCAGACCTGGCTCTCTGGTGCCCAGCGGCCCTTGTCCACAGAACTATAAGAACTCAGACCCTGTCTTTTCTGACCCACACCCCTGCCCACTCCCCATCCCGGGGTCTTCAGCAGACATCAGGGGTGTCCTGCTGCACCCCAGGATGCCCATCTGTTAACAGCTTTCCCTAGCCTCCGTGCTGCAGCAGCCACTCCATCTGCCCTGAGCACCCGAGCAGTGCAGTGTGTGGCTTTGGCTGTGCCACTGCCTTCCCCCATCCCAATGTACCACTGTGGTTGGGGGGCGGGAGTGTCTGCTGCAGGGGTGCTGCTCTGAGCTCTGCTCTCCCCCTCTCCTCTGGAGACCACCATCATTGCCCCCTCGGGACCACACCTGCCACTCTGCTGCAAAGTGTGTGGGGAATTTGATCCCCTCTTGCCATGTTCTGCTTTTTGGAAGGGACTCCCAAGCAGGGTTGCTTGTGCCCCAAGGTGCTACAATTCTTTCGGTTTTATGTTTCCCAGTCTTTCTATCTCTCTCCGTTTGCTGAGGAGGAGCAGACTGGAGAAGCAGCTGCTTAGAAGCACCGCTTCTCCGTGGTCCACCAGGCTCTTCCTTCAGGGCTTCCCCAGGACTCTCTCAAACCTCTTTGGGATTTGACCTCTTCATGCACTTGACTCATAGGCATGCCTATCTACAGCCTGCATACATCCACACCCCAGTTGCTGACATTCTTTGAGTTCTTTTTCCAGACATCTCCTTACCTGCATTGTAAAGCAGCCGATGTAAAAGGGGTGTGTGCGTGTGGAGGATCCCTGGCTCTCACACCTGAGTTCTGCTTAGGATCTGCTGGGAAATCCTGGCACTGCTGAGTGAATGAACACATTGTCCCTGCTCTGGCTTCTAGGGTATGCTGAGTGATTCTCTGGTATGAATGGGGGTGGGGGGTGAAGGAGATGCTACTGGGTTTAATTGACACCTCTAAGGCAGGCTCTGTTTACATTCTTTCTGCCACTTAGATCTGGGTAAACTTGGGCAAATTGCATAACCTCTCTGAGCCTTGGTTTCCTCTTACGGAAAACAAATGAACAACAGGTGTGGTGTACAGTCTTTGTGAATGGTTTATGACACGCTGCTTATTCAGAGGCTTCTGGTGTGGTAGAAAAGGGGTACTGTGGGGCAGAGGTTTCCCAGGGAAGCACAAGCCTTTCATGGAAAAGCCTGGCTCTGGGAGAGCCTCAGCAATGTGGAGTCAGGAAGAGAGGATTGGGGCAGCAGGCTAAAGAGGAGAGGCCTTTGTGGGATAGCATTGAATCAGTCTTAGAAACGCGGCCTTCCCACAGCTCCGAGGACTGACACCTGAGTCCCAAGCAGAGGGCAGGTGGAAGCAGAAATGGAGGGCTGTTTTCTTCTGGAGAGGATGGGAGAGCCAGGAAGCCCCAAGCTGTTCCGTGGCACCTCCACCTCAGTCCTCTGGTGGCTGCTGTGTTTCCTGAGGCAACCTGGGGAGGAGTCTCATCTGCTCCCACCTTTTGCCCCCACCCATCTTGAAGTCTTCACCTAAAAGAGGACTACGTTGTTGTCAAAGACTGGGGAAAACAGCGCAGATTATTTAGGGGGTGTTTGTTCTAACTCTGCTCATTGATCATAAACAATTTTTCCTAATTTAGTCAGACGATTTCCTTAAGAACGTTCGTGTTTATACAAATGAATTCGTTCACATAACCTATTCCATCGTGGCCTCCCCAGCCTCTGTACACCTGCCCCACTCCACCCACCCCTCCCCACCTCCAAGAAGCCAGGCAGCTTCTGGGCTAATTTGATCAGGATGAGTAAAAGCAAAACCACCTGGTTTTCTTTGACAGCTGAGTCCAGAATCATTGTTGTAAAAGACCTGTCTTCCAGGTAAGCCGGCAATATTAGGGGGGTGTCTCTCTTTGCTGAGATGAAAGGACTCAGCCAGCTACAGAATGCCTCGGCGCGGGCATCAAGCTTCCAGTGAATCACATCAAAGGCCTCTCTGCCATGGCCAGCCCCTTCCAGCTGGGGGAAAATGGGCTCATTAGAAGCAGGAAGAGGACATTGTTTACATTAGGTGGTGCTGATTTACAAGCGTGGAGCTGCCATTTTCCCCTCACCTTGAGCTCCGGGCTCCGAAGAGCCCTCCACTTGCAGGGAGTGGCTCCTTTGAAGGTGCACGGCAGCTTCCCGAAAAGGATGCCCCCTCCCTCACCGCTCTCCTTCCTCTAATTAGGCTCTTTCCAATTGAGCAATATCTGGGGTTGGGTAGAGACTAGCAGGGGGACTATTGGCAGAGGCCTCTGCATAATCGTGTTGATTAAGAGGTACAAGGCTGGAAATGTTGTCTTCCTTCAAGATCAAGTCCCTGCGCTCGTGGGAGCCTTGATTTTCTGGGCCAATTTGTTTGTGTTGGCCTAATTGCTCAGGAAGCATTTTTTCCAGAGTTTTCAGCCTAGGTGGTTCGGCGTTGTTCTGCAGCACAATACCCAGGGATCTCAGACAGGGGGCAGGAGGAGGCCCGAGGGCTGGTTGTCCATCCTGGGTTGTCTCAGTGTGGGACAGCTTTGGTGTCCAGCTGGGGTTTGTGTGGAGGGCTCTGTCAGGCAGCGTGGGCAGTTCTTTCTTTAGGGCAGGATGAAGAAAATGGTTCTCATCCTCCTGGGTTCTGGGCTTCCCTCCAAAAGCCATGGCTCTTTGGGGAAAAACTCCAAGAAAGTAAGAACTCTGGCTCAAATAATATTTAGATATTTTAAAAAAAAATGTCATTAGGCTTATGGCAGTTGGTATTCACCCAGTATCTACACACATGCTTGTGTTTCCCAGTATCGCTTGTGGTCGGGGTAGGGTCACGTGACTAGTTCAGGCTGCTAGACTTTGAGAGGAAGTGATGTGTCACGGGTGGTCTAAGGCAGCCAGAAGCTGTGTGCCTCCTCCATCTCTCTTTTTTTCAAATTTGAGACAGAGTCTCGCTCTGTCGCCAGGCTGGAGTACCGTGGCATGATCTCGGCTCACTGCAACCTCTGCCTCCCAGGTTCAAGCAATTCTCCTGCCTCAGCCTCCCAAGTAGCTGGGTCTACAGGCGCTTGCCACCATGCCTGGCTAATTTTGAATTTTTAGTAGAGACAGGGTTTCACCATTTTGGCTAGGATGGTCTCGTGATCCACTCGCCTCGGCCTCCCAAAGTGCTGGGATTACAGGTGTGAGCCACCACGCCTGGTCTCCTCCATCTCTCTTTTTGCCCTTGTCACAGCAGACTTTGGAGCCAAATATTCCAGAGAGAGGGGGCCAGCCTAACCCACATCTGACTTTTTGTAGGAAACAAGCCTTCACTGTGTTAATCCTCTAAGATTATAGTTTCATTTTTCCTCCAACCTAGTGTACCCTGTCCTAATTCATGGTCCCAGTGAATGTCATCAGCACTAGGAAAATGACCATCTTAGATTTGCACTGAGAGACACTCTGGGCAAGGCTAATGTCAGAAAGAGAAACCTTCTTCCCCAACTTACCACTGTGCCTTTCATCTGTACCTTGGAGATGTCAGTTCTGGATCAACACGTGGTTGCATCTAGAGCCCGCCAATCACTCTGAGTCCAGTAGGATTGGGGTATTTTGATTGGCCAACTTGGGCTAGGGAGGTAGGGCCATATGATTGGCAGTCCCCACCAGTGGGGATGGATCTGTTCTGGAAAAGAAAATGTTCTAAGAAGCTGAAAATGTCTATTACAACTGCTCTTCCTTGGGCCAATGTGAGCCAGCAGGCTACAATGTTTCAGATACCTTAAGAAGACCTTACTGCCAAGTCCCAGGAAGGCTGCCTGGCCAGATAAGAAGGTCTGTCTATGCAGCGGGGAGGGTCATGACCTAATTGACGCACCCTATCTGCTTGTGACTAGAGGTGTAGGAGGAATGTTTGCTTTGATTGTTGCACAGTTTGGAAGTGAGGGGCAGCGACCCTGGAATTGAAGACATGTCCACAGTGGTCATGAGTGCCGGGAACTGGAAAGGGACTGAGGCGTTGCCTATTGCTTTTGAATACAGTTGTCCCGACCAGCTTCACCCCAGGAGAGGGACCTCATGACCTCATCGCCTCAGGACTTCTTCATTTTCCTCCTTCTCTCTAGTCTGACTTCTGTTCGCGTTGTGGTCTTTTGAAAAAATAGTGGGAGGGCTGGGCATGGTTGCTCACGCTGGTAATCCCAGCACTTTGGGAGGCCAAGGCCTGTGGATCATCTGAGGTCAGGAGTTCGAGACCAGCCTGGCCAACATGGTGAACCCCCATCTCTATTAAAAATACGAAAAATTAGCCAGGTGTGGTGGTGGGTGCCTGTAATCCCAGCTACGTGGGAGGCTGAAGCAGGGGAATCTCTTGGTCCAGTGAGGCAAAGGTTGCAGAGAGCCAAGATCACCCCACTGTACTGCAAGATAGGCAACATGAGTGAAACTCTGCCTAAAAAATAACACGGGAGGATCTGCCTGTGAGCGTCCCAACCTCGTAGCTCCCTGCCTCAGGATGAACCACCACAGGCTCATCCCAAGATCACAGGAGGAGATAATCTGATTGACCTAGCTGGGGTAAGGTGTCCGTCAGTGGCCAGTCAGCTATGGATGTGGTGTAGAACACATGGCCATTTCTTGGAAAAGGGGGCTTTGTAGGGAGGAGTCATTTGTTGCATCACTTGTATGGACCCAAAGGTAGGCCTCTGGGCTCTGTCTTAGTCAGCTGAGGCTGCTATAACAAACTACCACAGACAGGTAATTTACAAACAACAGGAATTTATTCTGCACAGTACAGGAGGCTGGGAAGTCCAAGATAGAAGTGCTGGTAGATTTGGTGTCCGGGGAGGGCTGGCTCTTTCTTCTTCCAAGATGGCCTTGTTATTGCAGACTCTGGAGTGGAGAGACACTGTGTTCACACATGGCCTGAGGGCAGAAGCGGGGAAGGGTAGAAGGGTGGAAGGGCTGAGTTCCCTCCAGTCCTTTTATAAAAGCATTAATTCTGCTCACTATGGCTCTGCCCTCCTGACTTCTAAAGTCAGCACCTTCTAAAGGCCCCGCCTCTGGGGAACACATTCAGGCCATAGCGGACTTCAACTTCTGGGCTTCAAAAAATGGAGTGAGAGAGGCAAGACCCGGGCTTGGAAAGCTGGAGTGTGGGAGAGGCAGGCTTCCAGATCCAGCCCGGCCCCACGCCAGGACACGCAGCAGCTTTTCCCAGTCCATTGCAGTCTTTCGGACCCTCTCGTGGGTCACCGCTGGACTTTCAGGGCAGGAGAGTTCCTGAAGTAATGTCCTGTGTTAGTCCATTTCTGTGCTGCTACAGCGAAATGCCAGAGACTGGGGAATTTATAAAGAAGACAGGTTTAATGGGCTTACAGTTCTTCAGGCTGTACAGGAAGCACAGCGGCATCTACTTCTGATGACTGTAAGCCTCAAAGAGCTTCCAATCATGGTGGAAGGTGAAGGGGAGCAGGCAGGTTATATGGTAAGAGCAGGCATGAGAAAGAGACAGGGTTAGGCTCCAGGCTTTTTAAGCAACCAGCTAATAGAGAACTCACTTATTACCATGGGGAGGGCACCAAGCCATTCATGAGGAATCTACTCCCATGATGCAAACCTCCCACCAGCCTCCACCTCCAACCTTGGGGATTACATTTCGACATGAGATATGGAGGGGACAGATATCCAGACTGTGTCATGTCCCTGTCATCCCAGGGTATCACTGAGCAGACGGAGTTTCACACTTTCTCAGCTCAGCATAACGTTGGACAACAGTTACTATGTCTGAAGTCTTAGAATAATCCTCCAGAGACTGGGGGCTGCTGTCACTAGCCACATATTCCTTCCTTACCTTGCAAGTGTTGCAGTGATTGATGAGGAGGACGAACCCTAAGCTAGTGAGCCTGGAAA